GGAGGGGGGGGGGGGGCACCGGGATGTACCGGGGGCTCCACCGGGGGTCGGTGTCCGCGTCCCTCCCGCAGCTCCTCGGCTGAATCCACCGTCCGGGGAACCGAGGGGGAAGAGGGTCGGGGGCTGCCCGTTGCCAACCGGGATAATCCGGGATAAACTCCCGGAGAGGCTCTGGGAACCGGGAAACGGGCAGGATCTCGGGGCTACGGCCCCGGGGGGGGGAAGAAGGTGGCCCTCGGGATGGGGGTGGGCACGGCCGGGCACCCCCCGAGCACACACGCACCCTATAGTGTGCACACACACACACCTTGCAGTGCACGCACACACGTGTGCGTTGGTGTGACAGGAGCATCACTGGTCAGGGCAGGGGTGGAACTGGGGGGGGCTTTAAGGTCCTTTCCAACCCAAACCCTTCCATGATTCCATGAGCAGAGATGTCTCCACCCAGCCCAGGTCGCTCAAAGCCCCGTCCAACCTGACCTTGAACCTTCCCAAGGACGGGGGCATCAAAATGGGGAGGTTGAGATGAGATTTTGGGGAAGAAATTGTTGATTCCGAGGGTGGGGAGAGCCTGGGCCAGGTTTTCCAGAGAAGCTGTGGGGCTGCCCCATCCCTGGAGGGGATGAAACCCTTGGAGGGGTTCAAGGCCAAGGTTGGAGGGGGTTTGGAGCAACCTGCTCTGGTGGGAGGTGTCCAGGGGTGGCACTGGGGGGGCTTTAAGGTCCCTTCTCACCCAAACCAGTCTGTGATTCTCTAAATCTGTCCCCTACCTCTCTGGGCAACCTGGGTCAGTGTCTCACAACCCTCAGCAGAAGGAATTTCTTCTATCTGGGCTAAATCTCCCCTCTTTTAGCTTAAAACCTTTCTCTTACCTGTCCCTCTTGTCCCCCTTGTCCCCAGCCCCCTTGTCCCCAGTCCCTGTTGTTGACCTGCCCGACGTCCGTCTGCGGCCCCAGCTCCCCCCCCTCCCCAATTTCACACACACACAGGCAGGAGCTTCGTTAACCAGAGCAATAATCGTCCTTTATTAAGCTGAGCTCCCCACGGAGAACCCGGATTCCTGCGTTTATCGCTTAGGACCATCAAAATCCCACCCTGCTCTTCCTCGGGACAACGGGGTAGGGAGGAAGAGCGGGGAGCGGGCGCTCGGACGGTATAAATTAAGACGAAAAAAAAATAAAAAGGACCATTTGAGGCGCCGGGGCTTCATCTGGTGCCCCCATCTCAGTGGGGCAGGGGCTTTTCGCAGACGTAGTAGCACTCGTAGGTGCAGTAGACGTCGTTCCACTTGCCCGAGACCCAGAGGTGGGCACAATCTTCGTTGTTGCCGCTGTTGTTGGGTTCTCCCTCCTTCCAAAACCTGGGAAAGGGAGAAGGATGGAAGGGAGAGGATGGGGGCAGGCAGCTAAACCCAGTAGCTTTGCCCCCAGGGCTGGGATTCGCTAAATTTGGCTGCTTTGAGATGGTTTTAGATGCTAATTTTTGGCTCTGATGCTGTTAGACGTGGTGTGGATGCCCACCACAGCGCATGGGTGAGGAAACCCAGTCTGATGGGTGAAGAAACCCAGTCTGCTGGGTGAAAGGAGGGGGGGTGCAGGCAGGGAAAGTGCCGGCAGTTTTTGGGGTGACGGGCACCCCAAACTCAGGGCAGGGGGACACTCACGTGAAGGTGGTTTTATAGTCGGTCCCGTCGATCCATTCCCATTCCCCTTCCGAATTCTCATCCGTGAGCCCAATCCAGAAACGCTCATTCCTTGTCCTGAACATGACAAAATTCTGCAGCGGGGAGAGGGATCAGGAGGGAAAAGCACCAGGAACCGGCTCCTCCAGCTCCACGTCCCCACCGTGGAGGAGCCGGAGAGGAACAAACCCTGCTCTGGGCTATTTATTTACAGAATCCCAGAATCTTCTAGGTTGGAAGGGACCTTAAAGATCATCTTGTCCAACCGTCAACCTCACTGACAAAAACAAGGTGGAGGAGAAGGATAAATGGTGCTGCCTCCAGTTCTGGGGCCATCAGAAGGACACGGAGGTGTCAGAGCAGGGCTGGAGGAGGCCCTGGAGATGCTGGGAGGGCTGGAGACCCTCTGCTGGGAAGTGGGGGATGAGAGAGTTGGGGGGGCTCAGCCTGGAGATGAGAAGGCTGCGGGGAGACCTTGGAGCCTCTTCCAGTCCCTCAAGGGACTCCAGGAGAGATGGGGAGGGAGCAGGGATCAAGGAGGGGAGCCATGGGACCAGGGGGAAGGGTTTTAAGCTGAAAAAGGGGAGATTGAGGGAGAAATTGTTGACTCTGAGGGTGGGGAGAGCCTGGCCCAGGTTGTCCAGAGAAGCTGTGGCTGCCCCATCCCTGGAGGGGTTCAAGACCAAGGTTGGAGGGGGCTTGGAGCAACCTGCTCTGGTGGGAGGTGTCCAGAGGTAGCACTGGGGGAGCTTTAAGGTCCCTTCCCACCCAAACCCTTCCATGATTCCATGAGCAGGGCCATCTCCACCCAGCCCAGGTCACTCAAAGCCCCGTCCAACCCGACCTTGAAGGTTCCCGAGGACAGGGCATCAAAGAGGGGAGATTTAGGTGAGATTCAGGAAGGAATTCTTCCCTCTGAGGGTCGGGAAACCCTGGTCCAGGTTGCCCAGAGGAGCTGTGGACTTGCCCAGAGAACCTTGAAAGGGTTCAAGCCCAAGGTTGGACGGGACTTGGAGCAACCTGGTCTGATGGGAGGTGCCTGGGGGTGGCACTGGGTGATCTCCCAGAGAACCTTGAAAGGGTTCAAGCCCAAGGTTGGAGGGGGCTTGGAGCAACCTGGTCTGGTGGGAGGTGCCCGGGGGTGGCACTGGGTGATCCTAAAGATCCCTTCCCACCCAAACCAGTCTCTGGTTCTCTAATTCCAGGAGCAGATCCGTGTCCTGGGCAGAGCCCTGGATGCAGCGCAGGTCCTGCCTGCTCTCTGCTGGCTGATGCACAGGATAACAGCCCCAGCTCCTGGGGGGGTGCAGGATGGATGGTCCCCGAGTCAGGGGGTGGGTAGGAGCTCCACATGGTCTTTGGGCAGGATTTGGGCAAATTTGGGCTTTCCTACCCAGAGCTGGGGTCTTTACCTGCTTGGCGTAGCTGTTGATGACAGCCAACTGGGAGTGCATCTCCTCGCACTGGACCTTCGCCTTGTGCCAGCTCATGCGGGTGAGGGAGAAGTAATAACATTTTCCATCAAAATATTCCCATTCCCTGGAGTCGGGGCCGCAGGGAAACACTGGCAAAAAAAAAAAAAAAGGGGGAGGGGGGGAAAAGTCAGGGGGATGGAGGGTGGCCGAGCTGCTCCTCACTGGGATCACCCCAGGGTTTTCCCAGTGCCAAACTGGTGTGGACACAATGGCTCAGCCCCAAAGCTCCTTGGATACTGGGTTGCCACAAAGGTAGCACCCCAAAAAAACCCTCTATCACAAGGAAAATTTGCCTTTTTTCTTGAAATATAAAAGTTTTTTCTGCTGGAAGAGCAGCCAAGTGGGAAGGAGAGGGATGCCCTGCGGCGTGTAGCAAAGCAGGAGAATTTTGGGGACACTTTAGCAAAGGTAGCACCCCAAAAAAACCCTCTATCACAAGGAAAATTTGCCTTTTTTCCTGAAATATAGAAGTGTTTGTTGCTGGAAGAGCAGCCAAGTGGGAAGGAAAAGGATGCCCTGCAGCGTGTAGCAAAGCGGGAGAATTTTGGGGACACTTTAGGGCAACTTTAGAGAGAGAAAATAATAAAACAACCATTTTGGGGGGGTTTGGGAAGGGGCCAGGACTCACAGAGAAAATCCCTGCTGGAAACGTTCCGGTTCTGCTTCTCTTCCGTACGCACCGTGTTGAGTTTAGAGGAAAGGGCTGAAACTATTCGAGAAAGAGAGAGAGAAAACAGGTTTTTGGTTATGTTGCTCCCCCCGAAAACTGAGGTTTTCCGACAAAAACATCCCCCCCCCGAGGTTAAAGGTGTGGGTTGTCCTTTATTCTCCCAGGGATGTGCTTTTCCAGCAGCCTCCAGGGCACAGAAATCTCAGGAAACTTAAAATACTGGCTTTTAGCTTGGATGAGCCAGTATTTTATATCTTTATATATTTGTTAAAATGTATATTTGTAGATATTTATAGATATATGTATATATTTTAAATATATTTATAGATTTTTTAATATATTTTGAATGCATTTATAGATATTTTTGCAGATTTAAAATATTTTAATAGATTTTTTGGCATATTTATAGACATTTTTATATCTTTATAGCTATTTTTACATCTATTTGTATATTTAAAAATAGATTTTATATCTAGAAAGGTGGAAGTCACTACATGGGACAGTCTGGGAGCTCCTCCATTCACCCCGTCCTGAGGAATTAGGACCTTCCGAATCCGGTGAGAGCAGGAGCGTGGGCTCAGAGCTCCTTGCTCTCTCGATTATTAATTAGGCTCTCTCCTAATTAATTAGCTGAGTCCCAGTACCTCTGGAGAGCGAGACGGCGGAGAGGGTGACGATCAGGAAAAAGGAGAAGGCCAGGAGCAAATATACCGTGCTAAAGGATTTCAGCTTCTGCTGGAAGATGTTTCTGTCTTTAAAAAAAATAAAATAAGAAAACAAAAGAGATGTGGAAATATCTCCCCCCCTCGGATCTCCGGGGGGTTTTTTTGTTGGTTTTTTTCAAAGCTCCTCTGGTTCCATTTATAGAAGGGTTAATAAATAACCCGCAAGAGTTAACAATTTGCTACAGAAGCCCAAATGTTGATGATAATTCCTCCTGGGACCCCCCGCACCCCACCCCAGGGGGTTGAAAGCTCCCCCAGACCCCACATTTGTCACCCAGCACCCAGGGGTGGCCTCGCTAAAGGTCAGGGCAGGTGATCTCCAGCACCACGTAAGCAAAATGAAAAGAAATTAGAAGCCAACACCACGTATTTTGGGCTGTGACGCGTTTCTAAACCCTCCTGGCTGCCCAGGAGCCCATCTCAAAAGGGGAATTGTCACCCAAGTGATGGTCCGTGGCCCAGAGGGCTCTTTGGTGGCCCTTGGCTGGCATCAGGTGCCCTTCTCAGAGGGGCTGAACCTTGGAAACACCTTTGGGTTGCACAGTTCAACTGGGGGAAGGTTTCCAAGGGTCTGGGCCACGGGATTTGGGGAGGCTCTGGGAAAAGCCTCATTTTATTTCGGCCACGGATGCTTCCGAGGCTGAAGGTTCTCAGGTGTCGCTGGTTGGGCAACCACCAGCTTCACACCATCATCTCAGTGACAACCCACACCTACATCCCCTTCTCTCCTCTTCCATCTCAGCCTCAACCTGGGGGCCAAACTCATCAGGGTGGGGTTCCCCATCCCAACCAATCAACCCCATGAGCTCTAATTAGCCAAGGATGCTTCCGAGGCTGAAGGTTCTCAGGTGTCGCTGGTTGGGCAACCACCAGCTTCACACCATCATCTCAGTGACAACCCACACCTACATCCCCTTCTCTCCTCTTCCATCTCAGCCTCAACCTGGGGGCCAAACTCATCAGGGTGGGGTTCCCCACCCCAACCAATCAACCCCCTGAGCTCTAATTAGCCAAGCTGCCTAAAGAGAGGAGGAAGGAGAAGACGGACCTTCCTCTCCTTCAGGAACCAGGACTGTTGGTGGAGAAGGACAACGAGACAAGGTTTGGGCTCCTTCCTCTCTTTGCTCCTGCCCAGCTCCTTGAGGGGATGGGTCACAGGGTTGGGATTTACCTTTAAAAACGCGCAGATCATCGTGAAGATGTTCCTCATCCATCCTGGGAAGCTGGGGCTGGGAGGGGGATGCAGCGTTGGAGAAAGTAGAACCTTTTTTTCCCCCCTCAGAATCTTTGGAAGAGGGGACCTCATGAAACCTCTGGGGACGTTGGGTCCGAAGGTTATAATTTAACCAACATGTTTTCAGGTTGTGTCCTATCGGTTTGTCCTCTCAAAATAGTGGCTTGGATTGTGTCCACTTCCAATAATTCCGCCGTCGGGAGGCTTTTCCTCCAGCCCAACTGGGCCCCCTTTGTGTTTGTGACTCTTCCCCACCCTTTTTTGGAGGAAAAAAAAGGGACAAATCCTCCAGTTTTTGGAAGGTGTTTCCTCTGAGCGAGTGGAAAACGATTTGGAAACAGCCTGGAAAAATCAGGAATGGTTTTTGGTTTGGAAATGGGAGTTGGAGGCACGAGCTCTGCCCCAACAGATGCGTTTGTCTGAGAAAATAAAGGGGATTTGGGCCTGATACTGTATAAATCAACGTGTAAATCCATCTAAATCCCCGTGTGATGGAGGTGCAGGAGCAGTTTGTTAAGGGATCAAGAACCCGAAAAGTTCTCAATCTCCCTGAGATCGGGAAAACTCGGTCTCCCTGAGTTTTCTCTTCATTTTGGTTGGGGGATTTCACTCCTCTCAGCCCTAATGGGATTCTTGGAGTTGGGTCCTGTGCCAGATTCACTGATTGTTTTGCTTTTATTCTGTATTTTTTAACAAAAGTTGGGGTTTGATGTCACGATGCGCATAGAGATGGCTGGAAGGTGGGGCTGGGGAAGAGCTGTTGAGGGTAAAGGTTGGTAGAAGATGAAATTACGCTAATTACTCCGGGCTCGTAATAAACAGGCGGTCGTTAAGGGAGCAGCCTTGGGAGGATTTCCAAACCGGAGCCCCGGGGCGTTTTTTTACCCGTGTTTATTTGCCCCAAAAGCCTCACTGAAATTGTGCAGAGAAAGAGAAAGGAGGTCGGGGCACAAAATCTGTAAGGTCCCTTCCAACCTAAATAATCGTATAATTCCATGAAATGGAAATAAACAGAGTAGAACCCCCCGAATTTGGAAATGAGAAGCAATAATGAGGTTCAACAAGTGCCGGGTCCTGTGTTGGGTCCCACCAACCCTCTGGATGCTACAGGCTGGAGCTGCCAGGTGGGGAAGGACCTGGGGGTGTTGGTCAACTATTGGCTGAACATGAGCCAACAGTGTGCCCAGGTGGCCAAGAAACCACCACCATCCTGGCCTGTGTCAGGAACAGCGTGGGGAGGAGGACTCGGGAGGTGATGGTCCCCCTGTCCTGGGCACTGGTGAGGCCCCACCTCGAGGGCTGTGTCCAGTTTTGGGCCCCTTCCCACAACAAAAAAAAAGACCTTGAGGGGCTGGAGTGGGTCCAGAGAAGGGCAACGGAGCTGGTGAGG